CGCTTTTTTATCGACAAATTTTGTTCAGCGATGAGGCTCATTTCTGGTTGAATGGCTTCGTAAATAAGCAAAATCATGCGATTTGACGCCTTTAGACTATTTTTTGTGGGGCTACGTCAAGTCTAAAGTCTACAGAAATAAGCCAGCAACTATTCCAGCTTTGGAAGACAACATTTCCGAAGAAATTCGGGCTATTCCGGCCGAAATGCTCGAAAAAGTTGCCCAAAATTGGACTTTCCGAATGGACCACCTAAGACGCAGCCGCGGTCAACATTTAAATGAAATTATCTTCAAAAAGTAAATGTCATGGACCAATCTAACGTTTCAAATAAAGAACCGATGAGATTTTGCAAATTTTATGCGTTTTTTTAAAAAAAAAAGGTATCAAGCTCTTAAAAAATCACCCGTTATATACATAGTACATACATAAATACATACATGGAAAATATGTATTTTAAATTTTTGTTTGCTCTCTACAGTAGCGTTAGATTTATTTATGAACCCATTAGTCGTCAACGAACGTAGGTTTGCTATTTTAGGCTGCTACTAAGTTTCTCAGCTTAGGCCATTAACAACTCCTCGTGTAGACCTTCAGCATCCAGTGACTTGTTCGACTTGAACATAAAGTTGCTGTCACCTTGGCTGGAGGCTTGCGATTTCGAACTGGATGTCATGTTGAAAAGATCATCGAGGTCCTCGCTGCGGCGGTAGCTGTTGGAAGAATATGAGAAAAGAGAAAAATGTGTGTTAAAATTTGTATGCCCATACGAAGAGATTAAAACTATTTAGCGCATTTAGAAAATTTATGATTAGCATACTTTGAGACTTGCTACTCAGGTTCATCATATTCCAAGTATGAGTAAAAATATATGTATGCACATATGCAAGTAATTAGATATGTATGGGTGTATTACAGCGAATTAAAAACCATGATTGAAAACACAATGAAATGTTTATACATATATAATACATAACTTTGCCAAAAATAAAATGAAATAAAAATTGCAAATCCACTTTGGATCACTGCAGCTGGGGGACTTGTTGTGGTGCAAGCATTGGATAATCATAATCAGTAGAAATGTATTGTGTTCTGTTGACAGTTCGGGGAAAATGTGATACTTCTGTGTTGATATTCCATAGAAATAAAAAGGAAAAACTACTACATCTGGAATCATTTTAAATTTTGGTTTTCTCAAACCGTCTTCAAATACACTTATAAAATTTCTCTCCCATGGCTTTCCTTTGCTGACATGTAAAAAATGTAGGGCGCTCGCATTACTCGATTTACTATAACTCCAAGAGTAAAAAATATATTGATACTGCTCAGACACATCTGTGTGTAGAGCCTGCAAAATAGTTTGAAAACTGAATTGGAAAAATGGGCAACATAGAATATTCCCAATTTGACGAATTTGTATTTATTTTGGAAATATTTTGACATACATATTAGTGATGGCAACATTGCTGAGTCGTACATGGTACATACTGGTACATACCATAATACAAAAAAGAAGGTAGTTTCAAAAAACAACTTTTGACGGATAATAACATTTTTTGAAATTTCATAAATTGTGAATATTCTCAACGGCCTTGCAACTTTGATAATATTAAAACAATAAATCGGAGTATTAATCATTATCAGTGCTTGGTAATTTTTTCACTTACGTGATTCGCACCGTTTTTATTAAAAATATATAAAATGTAAAGGAGAATTTGAATCTGTTGAAATGTCATAATCAGGGCCGAAAAGTTTAAGCTTTTGCTGGGAATTGCTTATTTAGCTTATTCAGGGTTTCCAAGCTGAACGAGCATGCTTATTTCAATGTATAAAGCTAAGTGCGGACCTTTTAAGAAAACGGTCAAGAAATAAATTAACATTATTTCGTGTGTGTGAATAGTAAATAGGCTGTAAATTATTAGATGTCGAAACTCCTTGGACAGTATTCGTCACACAAACGCAAAATAATAGCAATTTATTTATTGATCGTTTCCTTAAAAGGTGTGATCTTTATACATTAAAATAAGCAAAATAAGAAATTCCAAGCAAAAGGGTCTAAGTGACATTTTTTTTTAAATATAAGTTGTACCTATATTTTTATAGTTAAATATAGTATTTATTTGGTGACAAAGATTATACATTCTTTAAATTAGTTAATTAACCTGCATTCATTTAGGCAAGAAGCATTTCAAGTGCATTTACCCAACTTATCAATTATCTCAAAAAAATTTCAGATCTACTTAGATCCTTTTGACACCTTACAAACAAACGAAAAGTTCGTCGTACACCCCTAAGTGGCCATTTCGAAAAAAAAAATGTTTTGCCAAACATATTTGACATCTACATTCGGCAATAAATATTTTTTTTTCTCTTTCAGACAATTTTTTAAATAATAATTAGGTTGTTCACAC